GTCTGGATAGTGTGTGTCCTGAAAAACTCTCTCCAGCTCCTGCAGTTGAGTTACAGTGAAGGTGGTCCGAATCCGGCGATGACCGGAGCCACGCCCCGACTCTTCACAGACACATTAATACACACATTATATTAGTAAATAAACATTATATATAAGCAAATAATAACAAACAATATATAATAATATGTAAATAAATAACATTATATAAGTAAATAATAATAAACAATATATAATAGTTAGTTGCAGTAAATAACAAACATTATAAAGGCAAATAATAATAAACAATATATAAGCAAATAATAATAAACAATAACAAACAATATATAAGCAAATAATAACAAACAATATATAAGCAAATAATAATAAACCAAACTATATAATAATATGTAAATAACAAACAGTAAATAAGCAAATATGTTAATAAATGATTGAATAAAATTTTATTAATATTAATGAATAAATAAATAAACAGCAACAATTGAATGTATAGAATTTTTAATTCATTCTTTGTTTATTAATGATACAATTACAATATTTACAATAATATTAATCTTGCTCTGTGTGTTTTAGTTAGTGACTATGAATTTGTTTTCAATTTAAATAATTAGTTTATTCATTCATTTTCTTGTCGGCTTAGTCGCTTTATTAATCCGCCGTTGCCACAGCGGAATGAACCGTCAACTTATCCAGCACGTTTTTACGCAGCCGATGCCCTTCTAGCCGCAAAACATCTCTGGGAAAAATTATATCTGATTTAAATTAACTTTAACTGGAATCGAATAAAATGCAATAAATATTTATACTTAGTTTTTTTAGCTGCATAATAAAAACACCAATAATAAGAAACAACAAACAAACATACATAATCAATGAAAAAATACACAGGAAAACTACCAAAAATGTAATTTAATTCAAATATAAATATATTTTTCACTATATATAGATTATTATTTGTTTTTGCCCACAAACATCTCAAAATTGAAAACCTGACACATGCACAAAGCTTTGCAGGAGAAATATACCTGTGCATTGGCTGGCTTTAGCAGTGTCCGTCTTCACTTTCCTCACTTTGCTTTCTGATTTGTCTTTCAGCACTGAAGGTTTTTTCAGTATCTCCTCAATGGAGTGCGAGAGACGTTTGGCTTCATTATTTGTCGTCTCTGTGTGTTCCTTCAGATCCACATCAATTAACTGCATTCTGGCTTTAAAGCTTTTCTGTAATCGAGTCCTAGTTAATATAAGTGTGTGTGATGGTAGGATTGAAGCCTTCATAGGAGGGGCAGCAGATTTATTACGTAACAAAACAGATCTGTCGTAAAAATGCACCGCCTTATCTGGTTAGCTGCTGAATGTTTTACATAATTTACAAGTTTATACAACAAATAAATATATGTTTTTTTATTTACTTTTCTTGACTTTGATAGTACCATTGATATATTTTGATACACTGTAAAATGTGCTGGTTTCCACACAATCTATGTGTGTTGGGACAGCATGAAAGAATTGAGTTAACTTATTAGTTTTCGTAATATTAAGTGGATCGAACATGAAATTATGCTGTCCCAAAATCAGCTTATTTTATATAAGTAGCTTGAACAAACAGCAGTGTAATTGATTTAAGTGTATTTAATGTTACATTATTATCAGTATTATTGTTTACAATTAAATGCTTTGTGAATATCTTGCATAATGTTTTATTTTTTTGTTAGATGTACGACCATATAGGTAGAATTAACTCAACATATTAAACAGTGGGTGTAGATTTGACCTTACAGGACAAAATAATCCTATTATCATTCTATATGGTAAATATATTGATTATATTAAAATTATTACCCTTATTATACTATTGTTATTATAATAGATTAAAATATTAGATATCATGTAACATGCACTTATCATAATATTGGCATTAATAACAATTTTAAAGTGCCATGAATATTTTATTTATCAATAATCAATCATTTGAGTAGCCTACATATGCTATTGTTCTTATTATATATTAAAATATTTAGATATTAGCATGCACTTATCATCATATTGTCATTAATAACAGTTTTGAAGTGCTATGAATATTTTATTTATCAATAATTCATAATTTTAGTAGCCTATATATGTTATTGTTCTTATAGATTAAGATATTTGATATTATGTAACATGCACTAATGATAATATTGTCATTAATAACTATTTTGAAGTGCTATGAATAGTTTATTTATCAATCCACAGTTGCCCTGTAGTATTTTAGGAGAGCATATTATATATATATATATATTTTATCTAAACACAAATCTAAATTAAAAACAAATACTGCGTTTTTATGGACTCGGCGCATTGCTTATTGTCATTTTATATAGCTGATATATCGATTATAACCATTTAATAGGCTATATATGTTATTATTCTCATAATAAATTAAGATATTAAATGTTATGTAGCATGCACTTACTATAATATTGTCATTAAAAAATATTTTGAAGTACTATAAATTTTTTTATCAATCCACAGTCAACCTGCAGTATTTTAAGAGACCAAAATAATATATATCTAAAAATCTAAATTAAAAACAAATACTGTGTTTGAGTGGGCTTAGTGTTGATTTTTGCATATAATTATATGCAAACTGCAACATTTGAAATGATTCTGTAAGTTCTAATGGAACATTTAGTCATTTTGAATGTTTTTTTAAATATACAATTATGCATTGAGTATTAACTTGCATGATGACTTTTTGAAACTATGTAAGTAGAATTTATTAAAATATTATAAATATTAAAATAAACAGTGGGCGTGTCTTGTACAAAAGCGCTAGAGGGGATACAGCTGTGGCCGGAAATTAACGTTAATTATTCATATAATTTATATAAAATTGCACAATAATTACATTTAATTCACGTCTACCCCACCCCAGCCCTAACCCCAATCCTCATCATAGTAACTCAAAAAACTGTTATTATACATAATATTATTCATATTATTAATTAAATGACTCATAAAAATGCGTTTTAGCAATGCCTACCTTACCCCAACTCTCACAGTATCATAAAATAACAATTATTGTTGTACAATATCGAAAAAAACAAAACAAAAGTACTGCTGTATTGAAACGTGATGCTCGACGACGCCATTTTGGAATTTCGATTCAACGGATGACATTCCGATAGTATTCGTTGACAACTTAAAAAGCAGTTAAAAGGTAAAACACCAATCTATAAACGATAAGGCAAAAAACTTTGATTTATTACCTTGCTGTACTTCTAATTTTAGTATGTACTCCTGGCGAGATTAGCTAGGTGATTTCGGATAGCAATTTTGCACACGTTTTCGGTCAACACTGTAACGTTGCGTAAAATAACGTCAGATCTGTAACGTGATCCACGAGGATTAAAGCATATGAGATAAAAATCTACCGACTATCTGCATTTTATTTAGTTATTTAGTTCGTTGTATGCAGATTTGATGCTCATTTTGACGTTCAGTAACGTTAAGTTAGCTATGTAACTTATTTTGATCAAAATGTTGAAGTCCCTGTAACGTTATGGCAACGAGATATACTTGTATCTTTCTAGCATCTGTTTGCACTTCCAAGTAGGCATATATATGGACTATAAAGTGGTGTAGCAACCATTATAGACGATAAAATAATTTAGAAGTGAATGGCTAACAGTTTTCAACATATATTCAACAAAAATACATTCAAAAAGCTCTGAAACCTATAAGTGTGTGAGTAAACTTTCATTTTTGGCTAAAACTATCCCTTTAAATGCGATCTGCCTGGTAATATTTGTTAATTCTTTGCATTAATAAGCTGTGAAAGGCTGTTTTTGCTTGTAGTGACTCGTTTTTATCGACAACAGCGCCATCAGGTTGTAAACTGCAGAGTTGCACTCGACAAGATGCTTTATATTTTGAATCACGTGACTTTTAGCTTTTATTTGAAACCACGCCCACCGAACGTAAGACAGCCAATCTTATGCCTGGGAATAGTCACACACACTTTAATTTATTAATATAGATTTTAAAATCATTAATAAACATCTATACTAGTGTAATAAAGAAGTTATCATTCATATTTCCCCTTTACCTGTGATATATAATAGTATATATTAGTACAATTTCCTTGCAGATAATATCAATTTAAAAATACTGCAGATAATATTAAGTAGGGTTTCATCATTAGCAAGTAAAAAACTATACCTGAAATAATATAAAATAAGAACATGCAAATGCAGCATTTCTCATTTTTAAATCATTTGTACTTAAGTAAAATAAGTAGTAAATGAAAAAAATAACAGTGAACTGAATATTTAAATACTATATAATAATAATTATAGTAATAAAAGTAAAAACTATTTTTAAAAACTTAAAAATATATATATTTAAAAAAACAAAAACCTAAATAAAAATATAAATTAAAGCTATAAAATTAACCCTGGTGTGTGTGAGAACAAAAAAGTCAGAATCAATAATTCCAGTAATTCACAGACACAAAACTATAAATCCACAAGCAGAGCTGAAAGTGTTGAGGATCTTCAGGACTAACATTAATCCATTTTTCAGGAGAAACTATTGGAGTCTGTCCACCCTGGAGACACCAGAGGGCAGTACAACATCAAGAGCCCAGTGGTTTATGGAGAGAAAATGGAGAAGTGACACTCAGGTGAGGCTGAAATGTGTAGAAATGAGCAGCATCGACATCTCATTATATTAAATCCTGTTCTGATACAGTATGTGGACATATTTATATCTTCAAATAAAGAAAAAACACTGTAGAAATATTCATTTATTAGTGTAATCATGTTCACTAAACAGAAATGTTTGTTGTCTAACTTATTTTAATTAACATAATAACAATTAAAACTATAATTATTCATTAGTATTATTCACAATAATTATAATAATATTTATTTTAATATAGAATAATATAATTTTTTAAAACAGAATACTACATAATGCATTAAATATCATTCTTTTTAATGGATATTATTAATGTCTTATATATTCTGTATATTTGTTAATGAGTAAAAGGTTCATGTTCAAAGTAGCTCTTAATTATTTAAATTATAATGTTATAAAACAATCATTAAAGCATTATGAATATAAAATCTAACAATTATTCACCTCCTTTCTAATTATTTTTATTTAGATTTAATAGTTTTAGATTATTCACCACAACATTTCTATTATTAGTTTTATTTTTATATATAAATTAGATTATTACAATTACAAAAATAAATTAGATAAAATTTACTCTAAAGTATTAAATGATAAAAAAAATCTATATTAGTAAATTATAAGATTTATGTAATATATAATTATACTTATGAATACAGTATATTATAATTTTGTGTTCATTTAAATATAAATATATATATATATATATATATATATATATATATATATATATATATATATATATATATATATACATGCAAAACAAATATTCTAAGTATTTGAAATTTGTATTTTATTTGAATATTACAATTACAATATTTATTAAAATGTATAATAATTAAATATTACAATTATATATTACAATTATATATATATATATATATATATATATATATATATATATATATATATATATATATATATATATATATATATATATATATATATATATATATATATATATATAATTTAAATCTTATCTTAGAAACATAAAAAGAGACAGAGAATCAGAAAGAGTCAAAGATACATACTCACATGTATATATATATATATATATATATATATATATATATATATATATATATATATATATATATATATATATATATATATATATATATATATATATATATATATATATATATATCTGTATATATATATATATATA